TGACATTTTTCATATAAATCCTTGCTCTAGTTTTATTTTAATTCAGTAATAAATCAATCTAGTAGTATTTATTCTGAGAAGATATTTGAAAATAAGTCCTGTTTCCTACAAAGTTATATAAGTTAGTATTTAGGCAATAAGTATCAGTTATAAGTACCTTAAATGTTATTGGATATTATTTGGATAGGTAAAAAATTAAATTGTTAGTCTAGCTACAAGTGGTAATAAAGGAATTTATCTTCAATGGAGCAAGTACAGATTCTGCAGCTTTATTTATTATAAGATATTATCTCTGGTACCTCTTTTCAAAGCTTCCCTTAATCTCTTCCAATAGAAATAAAGCTTAATCAGTTACTAGTGAACATACAGTGATCGTTATAAATAACGAGAATTTAATAACATGTAACTGCTATATATAAATTTTCTGATCATGTGCTCCTAACAAAATCAGCTTTTAATAACGGGTTGTTTATACATGTAACTTAAAAACAAGTTACCAAAAAACCCATCCCTATTTAGTTTTCCCACCTTTTTTTTATTATAAAATGGAAAAAATCCCTCTTGCTAATTGACGAAAGACTGTAAGTAAGCTTTGGAACTGTGGTGTTCGCGATACCTCGACTCTGGTGAAATTAAGTGATGTTCCACTTTTTATAGCATACAAGTATATTACCCAACTAAAAAAAAATCATAAACTTGGACCTATTTCACATCCTGGATGATTAACAATTTTAACTTCCCCAAATTGACGTGTGCTAGGAAGAATTATTCAAAATGATCAATACCTTACCTGCAAAGAAATCATCACTAAGCTTAGTAATAAGGTTAAAATATCAGCACAAATGATAAATCGTGAGCTTAATAAGCTTGATTACTACTCAAGTTATCCCCAAACAGTACCTTTACTTATCATAAAGCAATGTGAATGATGTTTAAAATGGGCAATTGCTCATACAAGGCAGAACTGAAAAAATGTTGTATTTTCGAATGAAACTACCTTCCAGATGTTTCATAACACCATGACAGCATTTTACAAGACCGGAAGGGATGTTTCACAAAAGAGGGTTCCAAAATACCCAACGAAAGTTCATGCGTGTGTGCTTTCTCAACGCGCGAAATGATTGGCTTCCATATTTTTACTCAAAACATGGATGTTTCACTCTATTGCGATATTTTAACTAATAATCTTTTTGAAAAAATGCATCTAGAATTATGCCGTTGCGTTGGGTCTTCCAGCAGGATAATGACCCAAAACATATAGCAAAAGACACGACCAAACTTCTTCATTGTCAAGTTTTGAAGATCCTCGATTGGCCCTCCTATAGCCCTAACATAAACCAATAAAGAATCTATAGGCTATTATCAAAAAAAAAAGTGAAGAAACGAGTAAGCAAAATAATTAGAAAAAAAAATTAGTATTATGCAATGGCATGAAATAATTCGAGAAGAATAGGAGGGTATTTCCGTAGATCTATATCTTAATTTGGTAAACGGAATGTCAGGACGATTAAATGACGTTATTGAAAATAATGGAAAAAAAATCAATTATTAGATATACATAGATTTTTTAATAGACATTACATGGACGACATTACAAAACCACAATTCGAATAAATAAAACCTACGAATTTATATAAAAAAAAGATTCTCATTATTTATAATGAGTATTATATATACTACTGACCAAACAAAGAAATTTCTTTGTTCAGTAGATTAGCTTCTATACCTAATATAAATTAGGTACAAGCTATAGCAAACATTATTATTTGAAGTAATTCTGATAAAAGTTAAATATTACTACTATCAATATATTATAGCATTGTTTTAGGTAGCATTATTTTAGATAAATATAAATATTTATTATAGTGTTAGTCCTATAAAAGTTACAAGATATAGTCACGTACCATAACTATCGCATTACATATCCTGGAAATATGAAGTAGCATTAATAATTAGCATAGAGAATGTAGTCATAGGAGCTTATATAACTTACCTATAGTTTAATTTAGCCCTGATAATTTATTTCCCCTTAATTGTTCTTCTAGTAGTAGAAATGATATAAATAGTAATGCCAATGTATGAGCGAACAATGTAGGTAGAGAGCATATAGAAAATAAATACAAGATATTAAAAATTAAAGTATCAAATAAGGAATATTGTAATTAACAACTTACCTTTTTAAGTATATACCATACAAGGAAGGATAATCGCTGCTATAGAACATAGCCTGGGATTATCAAGAGAAGAGCTAGTATCGGGAAAAAAGAAAAAAGCTTGTTAATAACAAAAATCCCGACTAAATCAATCTTACATGCCTCGACTTACCTTAGTTACGTGAACTTTGGACTGGTAAAATGACTAATTTGCTGTTTTTCAGGCCAACAATAGGAATAACTTCTAGCCAGACAATTATGCTAGTACATAATAAATAAAAAAAATTAAAAGATTAATTAATTTGTAATAATTGTTAAAATTTGTAATATAAATAATGGAAATCCAATTGTTAATATCAATATAACAAAAGCAAATAATTATTAATTTAATTAACATGTAAAGTATATGATATTTATAATTTTTATTTTGAAAAATATATTTATATAATTGAACCATTTCTATAGATCTACTTTATAATAAAAAGTTTTAGTAATTTTTTATTCTTTCTTGTTTAGTTTATAAAAAATTCAAATTTGTGATTTTTTATATAAAAAAATAAAAAAAAAATATTTGATTCTTTTTATTTCTTTATTGTAATAATTAAAAATTTGAGGAAAAAACATTTAACAATCTTTTTAGTTTTATTTAAGGCTTTGTTAATAAATTTTAAACAATAAATAAAATTATTTATATATTCAAAATAATATTTAATTTCTAAAAATAAAATTTATTTTTTATTTGCTTTTTTTTTTTTTTGCAAATAAGCATTAAATATGGGACTTTTTATTAAACGAGAGTTTATAGTCATTACATTAAAGATCTTTTACATGAAATGTAATTTAATTCTAGTTTATTGCAACTTTTTACCAAAATACCAACTTACACCAAGTAGGTGGGTCCATACTCTGGTTTATACTAATAACTCCCTACTTGTAAATATAAAGTAAGGAAAATCCTAAAAACTCTCTCCTGATCACGTCCGTTTTGCTAAAAATTCTTCTTTTATGGTAATTTTAAGCAAGGAAAAATGTTTAACACTCTTTACTGCAAGTAAGCTCCAGCTCAAGAACTCAAGAACCTTCAAGACAACTGGTGCAGTGGGATGGGACCTCTGATCAAAGTCTACTCAAGTTTGGAAGTCTTGCTTATCCTTCAGTTGCATAAGAAAAAGCCCGTGGCAGTTCTCTTCTCTTTTGTTCTCTTGCACTTCTCCTTCCTTTTATTATATCATAAAAACCATCCACATCAACACCATTATACTCGCTAAATCAAACATCTTCCTAAAAACATATTTAAACAATATTGTTGGGTCTATTGTTTGTTTCAACACAACCTTCACATACAATCTTACCTTGACGCTATTTACTGTGCCATTCCAAAATTTTTCAAAAATTTTTTCTCAAAAACTGAAATCAGTTTACCCCCTCCAGATAATCATTGCTCTCCAATCATCCAATCAGATTTCATCAAAACAACAAAGAAAAAACCGAATCTGTTTAAACCAGTTTTTCAATACCACAACAACAAACAATGTCATCTATACTCTACTATCCATGTCAACAAGGGTCACGTCTCTAAGACCAGCACCAGTACAAGGGTTAGACTATTGGCTATCTTTTAGATATTCTTTTTGTTTACATAAATTTTATAGTTTAGGCGACTTAGTTTTAGTTGCAGTAGCTATAGTTGTTTTTTTCTTTTATTTATTTTATATTCAAAAAAATCAAAAGATTTCACAAAACTTTGTCAAGTAGGTAGGCATAGCCACTACTCCACTATTTGACACCTTAATATTGCTTTTGAAATTTTTTACAATATTAGTTAGATAGTGATCGGTAAGCAAGCTAGCATTTAACTTGTTATATGCAATATGCATCCAAGAGATGTTGTTTCTTTCTCAAATGTATATATAATCAGTATATAATAATGAATAAAGAAATGATATTTACCTACTAGGGAAAATCTCTCTCCCCAAAAAAATAAAATAAATATATATATATATAAAAACAAAGTTATAAAATAAAATTACTAGATTTTTTTCTATATAATTAAAAAGCAAACAAAAATTTTAAACTTGTTTAATCTTTGATTAAAAGTTTTATTTCAATATAGCAATGGTTTTCCAAGTTTTTATATTTTGAATTTATAATATATTTAATATATTAAAAAAAAAAAAAAAAATTTTTTTTAAAAAAATTATTAATTTTCAAAAAATCAATAGTAAACAAATAAAGTTTTTTTTATTATTAATTAAATTCTAACCAAATATTAATTTAAAAAAATTTGTTTTTAATATAGTTTAAATAAATATTATTAATAAATTAGCATTTAACTTATTGAAAAATATATGTGAAAGATATAGATTCTTTTCAAATATATATGTCTTATTATATATGATTAAATAAAATTTGATGTTTATTTACTAAAAAAAAAATTCAAATTCAAATTCAAAATAATTTTTTTCAATTATTTTTAACTTATTTATTAGTAAAATAAATTGATAAAATTTCTATCAGGCTATTTTTATTTATTATAAAATTATTTGAAATAATATGTATTAGAATCTCACAATATTTACAGTATATAAAATAAAATAAATTTATTATATTATATTAATTTTTCTATAATTAATGATTTTAAAAAAAAAAATAGAAAATAATTATTATTACAAAATTTTTTCATAATTTATATATTCGATATAAAATTAATTCAGCTGCATACAGCAAGTTTAAAATCGTTTCTAAACTCGTGAAATTTAAGAATTTAAGTTTATAATGAATCATGCAACCACCTTTAAGTGTAACCACGCTAAGAATGTATTCAATTATTATTATTTATTTTTAAGTTCAGGTGTATTTAGTAAAATCAAGAGTGGGCTCTAAACCCAATATCATGCTAGTCGTTTCTGTTTGGTTATCGCCTGCAGGAATTGTCTGTTGTCTTTCGTTACTTACATTTGCTGTCGTGGAGAACCGTTCTTTCAAACGTTTGATTTGCCTCAAACGGTCTCTCCAATTGGATACATACTCGACATTTTTTGACCCACCACTTTGAAGGAAAACTTGTGAAAATATGTTTGCATGTAATGCGGTGATTAGAACGAACGTTGGTAAAGCTGAGGATGATATCATCTTAAATTCTGAGATGGGACCAATTTCTGGCATATCAGGACGACGTTGCATCACCACTTTATAAAAAGTATCGACATTAGTTCTTGTAGTAGAATTTACGGGCTGTGATAGATCCCCTCTGGAGTGCGGAGAAATCACAATGTTGATGTAATTAAAGTGACTTGGTAAGGTGTCAAACCTATAATCGTGCCCAGATTCGTTGAAAACGATCGTAACATAGTCATTTCCAATATGACGTTTCTTTTGACTACAGTATGGGTCATTAGTCAAATTTGTTGGCATGAGAGTAGCACAGTGAAATATTACTTGTGTAATATCATCTTTCCAATAATACGCATAGTCACCGTCAGTATTGAATTGAGTGTCAAGACCGCCGGTATAAACATGTTTACAATCCTTTAGTCGTACTAAGTTTCCTAGTTTATTCAAAAAATCAATATAACCTTGAGATCCATGAACATTTGAAAGGATTTCGACCTCAGTGGTTTGATTCTTTCCAACGTATAACACACCAATCTTATGAAAATCGACAACTTGAGCCAAATCCAATATCGAGAGTGCACGAGCAGTGCTATCATCATCCGGAAGTGGTATGGGAGTCTCTCGAGATATGAAATCTGGGTAAGGCGAAAATTGAAGAAACAAGAAACTAGGATCCATATGCGGATCTTCTTTAAGATATATTTTTTCTTTTTCACCCAACGGATTCGAAGTAAAAATCTTTTCTAATAATTGTTGCTGCTCCGATGAATCTTGTTTGCTAATATCTATTTCCCCTATGTTGGGATTATGATGAGTTTGACGAGATATCACGTCCGATCCTTCGTTTGAAATAAGATTTTCGTCATTATTTATTTTTGTGCTTTCCTTGTCCTGTTGTTGATTGGAGTCACTAGAGTCATCGGAAGCCTTCGGATATTGGGAAATTATATTTTCAACGGCCTCCGGAAGAGGTATAATGCTCTGAGAAATAGGATTGTAATGGGCCATCAAGGTTGCAGGCAGACTTATAAGGTCGACATCCTCCAGTTTACTACGATTTTCAAGTCTACATAAAAATGTAACTTTTCCGGAAGGTCGACGAATGACAATCTCTGCCCATCCAAGAGACTTCACAGTTCGAATCGTCAACAATGCATTACCTTGAATCCACGTACGAGACTTAACCTTATCTTTTCCTTGTTCCAACAAAAATTGATTGATAAATGATTGTTCTGGTTTAGGATCACATTCTGCAAAAGTGTAACGTGCCAACATGTCGAAACATGTCTCGGTTTGTTCATCTACTTGCTGCGTGGAACCATTCGCAACCAAAAGGCCATGAATTACGAATGTAACGTATTTTCGACGCTCAGGAAGTCGAAGGGACATGAACCACAGATATATTACTTGATATGCCATTATTCTTTCATATTGAAACAATGCATTCGTCCTTTGAGCAGGACTCGCAATGGAACTCACCGGATTCGCTGAATTAGTCGAGTTAGATGGTATTATCACGGACGCATGGCTGTATTGGATATATTGCATTGCGATACCAAATATGCGCATGTAGTCGGCTTCAGTGAAATTGATATACAGATCTGGAAGTCTAGCCAATCCAGATAGGAATTCGAGAATATGAACACTCATAGTAGAAGATGTTATGATCTTCGATAGGTAAGCGATCGTATCCTGAAGCATCTTTGTGGCAGAGAGTGGCAACTCAAATAAACAAATATTAAGAGCATGTACACACGGTTTTGCATGATGTGCAAATTTTTGTAAGCCAATGAGAAGTGTCACAACGATTTCATCCCGGTGAGCCTTATTAAACAAGTTATGATAGCTGATAAGAATGGTTAATGTCTGGTAGGCCGCCACGTACACATCAACTTTTTTTATATCAGAGGGAAGATGTATACCTTCAGTTAACCTATTGTTTTTGATCGAATCACATAAATATGTCCTCAAATCCTGGATTTGTTCAGGTGCAGCATGAAATAAATGTTGCTTACTTAATTGTGAAGGTAAGTGGCATAATATATAAGAGTAAATTTCCCAGTCTTTCTCATTTTTAAGAATATCAATAAGGCAATTCAAGTATTCTGACAAAGGTAGAACGACAACTTTTTGTAATTTTTCTGAAGTTTCCTGCGATTGGTCGACATCTGACAGCAGTGGCGTATTACAACAAAGAACGTAAGGACTAGAACGGAGAGCTGAAAGTTCGAATTGTAGAATCTCAGGTATTTGCCACAATCGTTCGTAAGGTATTTCTGTAGAGTCATCTTCCGGAATATTTCTATTTTCTGAATGTTTTAACTTGATAAATTGAGATACAACTGATTCTTTCAGACTACCCCTACGCTCAAATTTTTTCGAAGGACCCTTCTTTTCTATTCCTGAACTAGAATCGTTAGAACTCGATTTTTCGGAAGTTGATTGAATACTGGGTTCAGTTACAGACACACCGTCTCGGTGTAAGACATGCGCACCATTCATTATGTTCATGTCCTCTACAAAATAGATTCGATAGTCGTGGTCTGCTCTCATTCGAATCATCAGTTGTAACAATGCTAAACGACAAGCTACAGGAGCTGAAAAATCGCCAAGAATCTTTATTATTTCCGAGTATACTTCAATGATATGTTCCAGAAAATCGACTTTATACAAGCAATACTGGAATATAGTTATAAGACCATGGATGGAAACAACACATTTGCATGTTGTTAGATGAAGATAAGGAGTTTTTGATTCATTCGAGAAACAAGTACACCTACAACATTGTATCAGAACCCTAAGTAAAGTTGAAAACCAACGTGCCGATGTCTCCTTGAGCACTGTAATCAGGAAATCCAGTGAACACTTCGATATACTCATGTCAGTTTCTTCCGGCAATTTTGAAAGCATGGGCAAGATGACTGCTTCCATAAGCTGATCCTGATATATATCCTTGGTAATCTCATAGACGTCTATAGCAGTCTTCAAAACTCTTACACGAATATTAGAGTTTTTTTTTACAATAAAGAACGTGTTAACCACATCGACCAGCATCACAAGCCAATCCGGCGACGAAGGGTATAATGCATGTTCAGAATCATAATAGTCGAGAAGCATGATGATTGTATTTTCCGACACATGATCTCTTAACTTTTGAATGAGACCAATGAAGTGTGAAGTTGGTCCTTTAAATGAGGATGACACATGCAACGACTGAATTTGAAGTATCAATCTACTATAGGCGCAGACAATCCCCGAGATTCCAGACAAATCGGATGTTACCCCTACTGGATCGTCCAACATCCACACACCCTCACCACTCGCATCTTTATTTCCCAACAGATGGTAACTTGTATTGTTTAAAATATCTAATATTATCTCCCACTCTAATGATGTGATGTCCTCGTTTTTAGTAATGAGATCATTGACTTGTATCAGAATTTCCAAGTGAACTGTAACATCCTGGTATATCTTTGTTGATTTATTCATTGCAGAAAGAATGGTAGTGTAATAAGTGCGTGATAGAGACTCAACATCTTCGCGTCCCCATGTAGCCCATGCCAAAAACAAAACAGAACCCCTCAAGATGTTTGTTGTTTCAGCAGTCACGACCTTCGAATCTTCTAAATTACTACATAATATCTTTATGGCACCATATTGACAATGACTCCTCAGGAGGTTACGCATGATGTGCCAACTTGTCTGTGAGATCACACCTTTTTGATTAACCTTATCGCAAAGGACAAGTACATATGAGTTCAAGGAGTTCGTGGGTACGTATCCATAACGTACCACAATATCCCAAAAATCAAGACAACAAATTATGTCCGAAATATTGGTGGATTTATTACAAGCAATCGCAATATCTTCGACAAGACGAGTAACGTCGTGTTCTTCGAATTGTGCAAAATTGAATTTTACTACTTGATTTAAAAGTCCGACTACAGATTGCAATCTTGTTGGATTGTTGAGCTGAGGTGTTGAACCAGATCCGGTTGTTTCTGTCACGATTTCTACAGTTGGTGCAGTTAAAACTGCTGCATTGGAACTTACCTCCTGCTGAATATTTTGCAGGGCCTCTCTGGAAGCACCTTGATCATCCAATTGTTGTACCGTCTCATTGACCCACTCAGAAAGCAATTTCACAAGATTTTTTTCAAATGAAGAAATGTTCCTGCCGTCATTACAAAGCTCTCTTAGTGCCAGTAGTCTAATATCAAAATCTTCAGATATATTGTGAGATTTTATACAATTATAAAATACCACTCTCAGAAATCCTAGGTTATCGGTATGTTGACCTCTGATACAGGAGATCATGAATTGAAATGCGACAGTCCTTGCTTCAATAGGTTTCTCGGGAGAGAGTAATTCACTGACACATGTCCATACTTCGGTTATATCAGAGAACGTGTATTTCGTTACTAAGTCACATAATTCTCTAATTAACTTAATGAGAGTGTCTAAAGGGTAAGGTTTCTGCAGTTCCTGCACGAGAAGCCTTGTGTCGATCGGTCGACTCGTGGAGTTCTCTATGGTATGATGTTCGCCATCATTACCTTCAAGGACTCCTGGTAGAATCGATAATCCTAAACTGTCCTCTAACGTCGAACGTTTAAATAATACTCTACGGAAGAAAGGATCTTTTTTAATTGGCTTTGCATCCTGTGACATTTGTCTGAAATATCTTCAGAAGAAAGTTCAAATGATATTCGAAACGTTTATTTATCGATAATCGTTTTGCTGTATTATGACGTAAATTATGCTGTAACACGGGCTATTGATTATATAACATATGGTGTGATTGTTTATTTTTTATGGCCATAACGTTTTGGCAAGTATACAAATTCGGCGACCCCGCCTAAGGAAAGGCGCAAACGTATTTAATTTAAATTATTAATTTTTATTTGCACAACCATATTTATCATATTTCTATAAAAGTAAACTGCCGGTGATTAAGAAATTTTTTTTTACAAATTCTCTATTGAATTAATTTTCCGGATGCCAGAAGTAATTAGACCACTGGGGATTCTTGAACGATTCTATGTAGTTCGTCAAAATGTTCGTTATTACCGGAACGTAGCGTTCACCGTAAAATATCAATGGAATGATCTTAAAAAAACTTTGAATAAATCCTCTTCCGTTAAAGGGGGAGAGGCTAATAAAAAGGATACTAAACTAAACTCGAGCATTGAAATTCTCCCGACTCCGCGTCAACAAATATTAAAGATCCTATATCCAACTCTTTCTGCCCTAATCCAAAAACTTCCGTCGCTCTCTATGACAATCCGAGGCACCAAGACTTCAGGACCCCTGTTCATTCAACTTGAAGAAATTGATTTATCAAGTCTTGTCACTTTTGTTTCAGTAGCATCCATCGAGGACCTTGGGAGGGCCTTGGAAGAACAACACGATCTTGAATTTGATCAGGAAGATGAGAGTAAACCACTCTGGAGAATCTTGATTGGAATTTGCGACGAAAGTAGGAATAAAAATAAAAAACTAACATTTGATCTCTCGATAACGTTTGTTTGGCATCATATACTTGGCGATGGAATGAGTTCCATTGCAATTCACGGTGCATTCTTTGAAATATTGAAAAAAGTTGTCGACTCAAATTTAACTGAGCAATCGCAAAACCTCTTTGACCCACTTATTAAAGTACCTTCAAATTCCACAACGCCTCTCATCTGCCCACCCCTTGAGCAAAGGTTGAACATTCAGCCTACGCTCTTGCAGATCTTTAAAGAGGCCAGCATGGAATATTTAGTACCCAGCTTCCTAAAAAAACACGTTTTAGGAAAATATTGGGCGGGAGACGTGCATTCTCAAGACATCCTAGATTTTCATTCAAGACTTTTGATGTTTTCTTTAACACCGGAGGAATTTGAAGATTTGGTTGTCCTGACAAAGAAAAAGGGGACAACGATTAATTCGGTGTTGCATACTGCCATGATATTTTCCGCAATTCATAATTTATTGAGCGATAAAAACGAGAGAGAAAAATCCGATTGGTCTTTAAGAACTTCATCACCCATATCGCTTCGATCTTATGCATCGCCACAAATACCACTGTCAGATATAGGAAATTACGTTACAAAATTCGAATTTGATTATAGATTTGATACTCTATTGGAGCCCAATCGAACTGATCCCGAACCAACATTCTGGAAACTTTGTCATACTTACAGATCGAAGCTCATATCCAGTATACCGCATGCCATTGGACACGTAGGAATGTTAAATTACCTGGCGAAGGACAACGACGCATGGGAAACCTTCTTCCGTAATCAGATGGAGTCATTAAACATGGGAAGAAGTTCTTCCTTAGCATTGTCAAATTTGGGAAAGTTTCCAATGGACCTCGTCCCTTCTTCCTTAATTCAAACTGAAGAAAACCTCGAATCACGCGAGATTTCTAAAAATCCTGTCGTCGATAACGGTAATAACAGTGGTTTGAAGATAGTAGACATGTTGTTTAGTCAATCTCCATACAAAGTTGGACCTGCAATTTGTATACATAGTGTGTGCTATAATAAGAAATTGAATTTAAGCGTGGTTTATCAAAAAGGAGTAATAGCAGACGACAAGAAAGTTGAGAGATTTGGAGAAGGAATTTTAAAGTGTTTAAGGACTGTATCCAGGAAAGGTGACATTGAAATTGGTGAAAGATTATAATTATATGTCTGCGTGGACTAATAAGACTCAGAGAAATGAACTGTTCTTAATTTATTTTTTTCTTTTCTTCTAAAATCAACTCTGAATAAACAAGTTGAGACTTATTCCATCAATGAAAATGTTAATACAGTGAATCCTCTCTAAATGCACACCCCTCGGGACCATAGGAAAATTTTTGAAAAATGTGCATTTATAGAGGGTATGCATTTATGGAGGTAATTTTATTAAGAGTTCTATGTACTTAGGACCAAGCTTGACCATGCATTTAGAGAGAGAAAATATAGTAAGTGCATTTATAGAGGGTGCATTTGGGGAGGTCTCTCTGTATTAATCTTCCAATAATGCACATTGCAAAGTGCTTAATGTTATTCGATTCATATACTGTATAAAGAATGTAACTTTGAACTTTGAAAATAAATTATAGCAAAGTCGAACCTATCTTTTATTTAAAATTATAATAAATTTTATGGTTTCGATATCTTGATTTCAGTTTTTGATAAAGATAAAAAATTCTCTTTTAAAAATTTATTGTCCAAAGCGTAGTGTCTTGTCTGTCCGCATGCGTAATTTTTTTTAACGCGTAAATTTTTTACTGCATAAACCAGACATGTCTTATCTGTTCGCACGCGTAATTTTTTAGTTCGAAGTGTAACGTAAGACTACCATTCTACACCAAACCTGGCATGTCTTGTCTGTCCACACACAATCACATTACTTAGAGGAGTGTAAATTAAAGTTTTTAATCTATTAAGCCGATAATGTTATAGTTAATCCACTATTTGCGATACAGATATACCAGTTTATAAGGTCGATAATTGAAAATATAGCTAGTTCACTTTTATTTCGAATTTTCTTAATAAGTATACAAATGAAAATATGCAAGTGAAAACTTATTATACAGTATTACTCGATCGATTAAAAAGGTCTGTCGGTTACGTGACCCGAATTATTTAATTTACTGTATTAAGATTGCATTTATGATGACATTAAAATGATCATTTGTCGTTATCAAAAAAAATTGACATAATTTAATCAATCCTTCGCGCTTCGGACGCGCCTACGGTTTCCGTTATCTAGTTTTTATCAACTTTTTAAATTTTTAAATTTATATTTATATATTATAAAAACATAAAGTGTCATATAAAGACAGATTAGATATTAAAAAATAAACTTAATATAGTTGTTATTACATTTAATTAAAGTTTTTTTGGTTTTTTTTATAAATTAGAATAATTATTAACCAAACTTTTATTTATAAGAGATTACTGGTTGGTAATATTACAAATGTTATGGTTAATATCAGGAAATTTTTTAGAGAGTTATTTATCAATAGTCAACCTATAATCACTAGTAATTGATTATAATTAATTGATATACAGTATATTGATTGTGTTGTTTTTTATCAATTAATATTTTATTAAATTAATAGGTTTTAATTTATAACAATAAATGTTATCTATTGTTAGAAAACAATTTATTAATTTCAATATTATTTGATATTATTTGATTCTGTAGATTAAAATTAAAATATATAATTTTTACTAAATATTTATTTGTTTTAACAAAACTTGGAATTATATGTACACTTTTATCTATACTATCTATTGGTATATAACTTTTAATAAATCAGTTATAATCAAAATATATTTTTTCTAAAATAAATAAGTATCAAAATTATATTAACAATTATAATTATTATATGTTAAAAATCATAAAAATATAATGTTATATTATTATTACATGCAAAAAAATAGTTATATAAAATAGCAAATAATAATATTATTATTATCAATTTATGATATAAAAAAATAAAATAACAAATTTAAATATAAATATTTTCATTTGATTATTAATTTTTTAAAAATTTTTATGTTATTATATTTATTAATTATAAAAATAAATTGAATTTTAGATAAAAATATTTTGATAAAAAACAATATTTAATAAAAATATTTTATCTTCTTATAATATTTCTCCTATTTCTTAAACTTGATTTATTACTAATATATAATAAAATATTATTGATCTTCATCAATCTATCTATACTTATAATAATAGTGATTACTTGAATTTAGCAAAAAGTATTGCAAGTATACAAAATATTTTTTCAGTAATAAATAGTAAAAATTAATATTCTTTTAAAAATTAATAGCAATTCTCAAGACTTCAATTCTCTTTTTACCAATGCTTAAATAAATGATTACAAGTCTAACATTACTTAAAAAAATGGTTACAGTATGGACCTGATGAAAATTAATCTCAATTGAAATATCAATCAAGAGATTAACAAAGATTAAGATATTTTTTAAAAGAATGTTCTTAATCAAAATAATTTTTAAGAGAACAAAGTTAAGTAAGACAATCTTTAAAAGAATAATCTGAATCTTGATAATTCAAATATTTTTTAAAATAACAAACTTCAATTCTTTTATCTTTAAAGCAACAAACTTCAACTTATCAATTTTCAAGATAGCAAACTTTATATTAACAAGATTTCAAAAGATAAATGTTATTATATTAAATGTTTTAAATTACATCTTGTTAATATAATAAAAATTATAAAACATTACTTTTACTTAAAAATTAAAAAAGATTACAAAAAAAGAAATTGATAGATAATATAATAAATTTTATAATTTTTTTTTAATTATACTTTAATATACTGTATATATACTACTTGAACAAAAGTATTGCATGTCATTTATTTATTAATTACACAAAATTTTACATAATAATTTTATTTAAAATTTTAATATATTATATTTTATGTAATGAAATATCTATATATAAATCAATATTCTGTTGGCCATCCATTATTTCTAATAACTACTTCTATTCTTTGTGGCATACTTTCTATATAATTCATTAATTAATTTCTTGAAATTTTACTCCATTCTTCTTGTAATGCAATTTCTAATTCTTTAAAATTTTTTATATTTTCTGATCTAT